TAAGATATGCTCTTAGAAATAAATTGTGTTATGTTTTTTTTTGACTATTTCTTCATAAATATAGTTTACAAGAAGAATGTGATGGTTATTTAGTTTCTCAACAAAAAAATGCTGAACGTTTAGAAACACTAAAAGAAATTCGTCTTGGTTCTCGTGCTTATCTTGGTCGTCAAATGGACGAAATTAATTTAGAAATCAATCATTTTAATCGTCAATTACGTGAATTAGATGAATTAAAAGAAGCTGAACGTGCGGAATTAAGAAAACAAATAGATGATTTACGTACAAAAGATTTACAAGAGACAAAAGAAAAAAATGAAAATGAAAATCATATATTAAGATCTAAATTGAATTCTCTAGATGAATTAAAAACTAAAAAAGAAACATTGTTAAGTGAAATTAATCAATTAGATGAACAATTAAAACAACAAGAACATGAATATCAAGAAGATATTTACCATAGAGAAAAAGAAGCTGTCCTAGAAAAAGACAAGTAAGTTGTTTATTGTTTTTTATTATTTTCAAATTTAATCGAATATTTAATGAAATGAGAAAAAAAGTTTTATAGAACATTAAATTTAACTGAGAATCAAATAGAAACAATGTTGAAGCTTATCAATAATTAATAGTTTTATTGTATTATGTTTCAGTTACACTGAAATTACAAATTTATTAAGATTAAGACACATTTAGAACAACGAAAAACTTGATAATCATGAGGAATTTATATTTAAACATTTAAATCATAGAATTAAAATGGAACTTTTTATGACTTTAATTGAAAATATTGCCTTTCAAGTTCTCTGGTCGTTACAATCTTAAAGGGAAGCAGAAGATACAGCATTCAAAAAGATGAAACAAAGAGATAAAACAAGAAATTTCATTTTTATGATATTCGAAAGTCTCCAGGAATAATATAAAACTTTCGAGTTCGTCTAATTCAGTTCCACTATATAGTTTTTCATGCGAAAGAGAAATAGCAGAGACTTCAGCTCTGTAATACTTTAAAAATAGGAAGTGACACATAAGACCTGAAAGTTCCTCAGATAGACGATCTTCATGATAATTATCATTTTAACTGCTTTAGTTTTCTGAATATTCGTTTACAAAAAAATATGAACATTTTTTATTTTGTTAATCTGTTGGTAAAAGATCAAGCTTGTTTGAACTTTAAAAAACTGTATGGTGAAGTACGCTATTAGTTTAAGATCAAACTTATGAAGAATTGAATGCTTTTCGCTTTTTTCCATCACTCGAGATCATGTATCGGGTGACAAATGGTTAACTTTGCTGGTCAATAACTAACAAGCCGTTTGTTGATGTATAAATTTTGATTTGTTGTTCATGGAATCGCTAAGATTTCTCAGACTTTCAAGAAGTCTGAAGAAGGACTACGCAGATCTTTGAAATCTTGAAGACCGTTGTTTCTTTCTTATTTCAGTACGATATAGAGACATTCTTCTTGTCATCAGATCTAAGATATGAGAACGAGAAGCAAGCAAGTCTTTTAGATCTACATATGTAATGAGCTCTTGGCTTTCTTTCCTCCCACCGAAAGAAAACTGATCTACAAGCAATTAATTATCATGTAATTTTGTCGAAATTTTGCCATATTTCCTTTAATATTTATAACATATATCGTCAAGTAATCATTCTCGGCCAACAGCTGAGGAAAACCATATTCTGCCTAGTGATAGATTCATTAGACCGATACCTTTTGTTTAACTAATACTAGCTATAGCTCTGGACAGAAGGCGATCCTGACTCAGAGTTCTTGCGCTCACTTATTTGAACTCCCAGTACATGTTAACTAACCGTATACTAGCCACAACATAGTCAACATGATATTGGACAGGTTATCTAAGACAAACAGCCATTAATGGTTTGTTCAGAGTCATTTTATGACTGTCGATATCGATGTTTAAGCACTTCATCTATTGGATACATGCTGAGCAACGTAGTTACTTCGCCATGACGACATTCCTAGTGAAGGTATCGACAGGTGCATTCAATGATATTTTATAAAAATGATTAAGATTCGAACATTGTAAATTCATGAAGTGAGACTCAAATGTAGTAAACCATGTAAAGAATGAAAGCACAAAGTTAGAGAAAATTGTGATTTTAATTGATGTATTTCCAATTGTTGACCTAAACTAAAAATTTATCTAGATTACGTAAAGCAATGGGAACACGTGTAAACGAATTATCGTCTGAATTTCGTCGTGTATCAAAAATGCAAGTTGTACAAACAACAAGACAAATTATTCTTGAAAATGTTCGTTTAAATAATCAAATGGCACTTATTGAAAATGATTATAATGAGTTTGAAGCCAAAAATGGAACCATTCGTGAAGAAGTAATATAATAAATTATTTTTAATGAAATAAATAATCTTCATTATTGTAGAAAAAATATAAATCACTTGAATATAGTTTACTTGATGAACGTGAACGAATGATGGCAAAAAAAAATCGTAAAACATATCAATTAATTGAAAAATTAACTGATGAATGTACAGCTAATGAACAATTTATTGCAAGTCTTGATGAAAAATTATCTTCAATTGATTATACGCAACAATTAATTGATGAATTAGAACAAATAAACGAAAAAACCGAGTAAACTTATATTTCAAATGTTCTTTTTTTTTTTGCTATTTTTTATAATAAATTCTTGTTTTTATATAGAATTCGTCGTAGTCAAGCGTTAGAAGAAAATGAACTATTAAGAAGCACAATTGCTCAACGAGAAGAAACTCTTGCACAATGTGAACATGATATGAATAAAGCGAAACGTGTCATTGAAAATACAGTTCAAGCATTAAATAATGTCATACAGGTTTGTTTTATATTTAATTTATTTTACTGGATCTTAATGAGAAATTACATAGGACACATCTGAAATTTACTATATTCAGTTGTTATTAAAGGAATAGTTAATGATATATCATTTTTAATAAGTATTGACATTTGTCGTGAAACAGTTTTGGTTATGATTGGAAAATTGAATTAATGAATAAGGAAAATATCCCTGTTGTCTCATGAAAGACATCGAAGAGTAATGTGGTACTAAATAGTATGGTTCGTGGTAGATTTCAGTATTGAAAGTACGGTCTTTGTTATTTATTTTCCACGTACTGTTCAGAAAAAGACAATTGATATTAGGCAAGTAATAATTGAAATTAACAATAGATAGAAGGTGCCTTATGTGTTAAGACATTCCCGATTTTTCATAGGTTCATTAGTAGATATGAGATGATTCAAGCTCAATAGTTCAAATAAACTTCTCGAATATGTTAGTTTTTGTCGGAAAAAATATTTCAACAGAGACCAGACACTTTTACCTGTCGACTAGTGTTGCCGATTTAGACTGTTATCAAGGCAAGTTCGATAAGTACTAAATTTTTTCTACGATTGACAAAACTTCAGGAATGATCACTAATCTTCTTAGTAGTCATCGCATTTAAGCTATAGACAAAAAACAGTCTTACTCAAGGTTCTTCTTACTCATCAAACTATGTATATACATTTACTATCAACATACCAGTCATCTTCCAAAAATAGATTACAGAATAAATTAGAGCAGCAAATGTATGGTACTGTGCAATGAGCATACTCTAACACATGAGTGATCAAATGCACTAGTGGTAAATCACTTGTCTAAGATCAGTCCATAACTATATGAAGCCGATGCTCGAATAAAGGAGAAGAGAAGAATAACCTGTTTGTCGGCTATCTTACAACATGAGATACTGCCTAACATAAGATTCAATAGCCTAGTGACTTTTCAAGGATCACTTCATGGCTGCTGGTACCGAGATTCGAACACAGTCACTTTGATGCTGATGAAGAAGATCAATTCATAAGAACTAAAAATTTTCAAAAGTATATAAGATTAGAAATAATATGAATTAATGATGTCTGTATGAATCGTTTCTTTTTATAAATTTTAATGTCCAATATCTGTCATGCTTGCCGACTATAAAGTAAACATGATTAATTATATATTTTGACTGGTATTTCTGGCAATGCCTATAATCGATCTTCTATGTAGTTAGAAATCTTTACTTGATGATAAAAATCTAAAAACTAAATAATAATTAGAATTTTAACCTTGAAAAAAAGAGCAAGATTCATTGTCAGTACAAGTTCATTGAAACTAGCAGTAGTTGTTCTCCTCTTCGTAAAAAATCGTTTGATTCAGTCTACACGATTATATTATTTTGAAACAATTGATACAAGTTTTTATATCAATATCTATCTATCAATCACAAAATCTATAAATGTATATGATTTAAGTAGAAAAGATCGTTTCTCGAGATCTTATTTCCCAGACTGTGTATCACATTCATTATCTTTAGAAATCAACTAAACAAATTTGAGTTTGACGGAAAAAATCTTTTGAAATACCGCTCATAATGTATAAATCATATCATATTATATTTTCTAAGGGTTCTTCGGAAACATTGGATACTAGTCGAAAAATCGATATTCGTTTACGTGCTTTTCAAAATATTCTTCAACTTCTTAATATTGCTACACAACTTGGCATTGGACCTGAATTAAATGATTTAGCTGCTAAAAACGAAAATGATCCATTATTAACTACGATTGAAGTTGATACTTTACCTTCACCAACGCAACCATTAGGTGCTCTTAAAAAACTAAAAACAAAATCAGTTGGCGTCCAAACAAGTGTTTCCAATCGAGTATAAATTTAATATTAACCTTTTGAAATGTATTTTCTATCTGTTTTTTATTTTCATTTTCAAGAATCCTACTCCATATCATTTGCAAACTGATTCATCAACATTACCACCTCAGTCATCAACAGTTCAAAAACGTCGTCCATCTTTACTTTCTACTTGAGTATATCCTTATGATAGTTGTGCAATATCATCATTCATATTTTTAATTAATAAATTCATATTCATTCTTATATCCTCTTATTTATCCAAACGATTTTTGTAGATTTTTGTTTTTTTAGAAGATTAAAAAATGCCTCCAAAAAAAGGAAAAGGAAAAGGAAAAAAAGAAAAAAAAGCAGCTACTGCTCCAGAATATGTTCCAGAAAAGAAATTAAGTGAAAATGATAAGAAATTTTATACAATGCAAATTCAATTACTTGAAAAACAATACGAAAAGTAAATAAATATTTTTTTTTTAAATATTTATTTATATTTTGCTAAATTTAGATATCAACAACGATGTACTGACTTAAAAGATCGACAAAAAGTAGAATTAGATCAAGTTAAAACATTAGAACAAGATTTTGAAATGCTTAAATATGCAAAAAAACAAGTTGAAATTAAAGAAGAAGAAATAGCTGATTTAAAAGATCGTCTTATTGGTTTAGGACAAGCAAAAGAACTTGAAAAAGATATGTTACAAAAACAATTAAATGATTTAAAAAATGAAATTCATGATTTACGTGAACGTTATGAAGCTGAAAATAGTGAATTACGTATGTAATTCTTTCGAAGAAATTAAAATTTTAACTTATAGTTTCTTTTTTCCAGGAAATCAAGTTGCTGATTTGGAAATTTTTCGTGCTAAACAAGATAGTTATTTAGCTCGACGACAGCAACAACAAGATACGCTTCAATTTCGACAAGAAGATCATGTTAAAAAATTAGAAAGTATCAAGAAAAAGGATCAAACTGATCGTGATCGGTATGTATTAAGCCTCTTCTACCCGCCGCTCTCAGAAAAATTCGATTTCGAGAGTTACACATATTCTGATAATCATCGCAATGAGTTTGAAGCTCGTATAATTTTTCTTTTATTAAGAGAGAAAGGTTAACCTTTTTTTCCGATCAACTTTTTCGGAAGGTTCCTCAACTGAAGAATGTGAACTTGAATTGTATGGATACTTTTATAGCACGAAAGTTAATTTCATATGCGTTCCCAGCTCACATCTATGTATACGAAATCATGATCATAATTTTGAAATAATATGTACTTCTAAGAACAGTATGATATATCTGCATATACACCATTTAATAAAGCTTAACGAATAATGCGAAAATATTAGTTAACCTAAGCAGATTTATTTCGCATAGAGACACGTCCTAAGCCAGAAACGTTGTTTTTTGAATATATCGTTTACGCGAGGAAACTTTTCTTAGTAACGACTCAATATAAAAATGGTAATTTTTTATTACACATCAGACAGTAAATGCTAGGCCATATAAAGCCTGATTCTTGGATTTCTCTTTTGCTGATATAAAAAACTTAGGCCTCTGATTTTAATTAACGATTTTTTAGCAATGAGTTTGAGAATTTTTTTTAAAATAAATGAAAAGACATCCAAAACTTGGATTCTATTCCGACCTAGTTCTAAATGTACTTTACAATTTAAAAACCACACTAACATGTAAACTCATGAAGATTTAAATTAGATATTTTATTCATAATGTATTTTAGTCAAGACTAACATTCTCTACAATTTTGATTGAAACCGAATGAAAAATAAAAAAGTTTATTTCTGATGAGCGAGTGTCCTTAATCTATGATTGATTTCATTAAAAAAAAAAATTTTTTTAATAGATTAATAAAAGATATGGTACAAAAAATGAATCACGTTGCAGCTGATTTTCGTCGAGCATCAAATAAACAAATGGCTGAGACAACAAAAAGAACAATTAATGAAAATGCGCGTATTGAACAAACTGTAAATGATATGGAAGATGTTGCAACACGTGTTCATCATGAAAATGAACAAATTCTAGATGGAGTATGATTAATAATAAAATACCTTTTTTTATTTAGTTTTTCTTTTACAGAATAATCATTTAAATATGGGAATTCAAACATTAAGACAAAAAGAACAACAACATGCTTTTCAACATGCTACTTCAGCGGAGGTTTATTTATGATTAATTATTAAAAACGAAAAATAACGACAATAAAAAAAAAACTTTTCCTTTTTAAGATCATTCAATTACTTGCAAATATGTTACAAAATCAAGAAGAAATTATTGTGAAAAAACAAGAACAAATTGCACAAGTAGATATCGCTGAAAGACGTATAAAAGAATTACGTTCATTAATTTTTAATAATGAGTAAATATAATTCATTTTATAGATTATTTCATAAGAAAATTTATTTTATATTATAGAAAAAATTATCCGGATATTCGTCAACAAAACAAATCATTTGATGAAAAATTAGATGAACTTAATAAATTAATAGCTGCAGCAACAAAAGAGAAAGCTATTATACTTTCCAATTTACGACAAGCTATTCTGCTTGTTACAGAAACACTAAAGGTTAGTTAACGAAATACTTTTATATTAAATTTGGAAACTCGTGCCGGAGCCAATGGTGAATTCAGTTCGTCCGCAGAGATTTGGGAAGCTACATTAAAATAATCTATTCTGAGAGTTAGGATAAACTCAACCTAACCTGAGCTGAAAAACTGACTTTGCCACTATTGGGAACCGACAGAAACAGTTACAAAACCGTTATAGTTATTATAAAGTTCCTACATTTTTTTTTCGAATAGTTCAGTGTGACTATTGGAATGGTCTAAAAAGTTTCATAATGTTGCTCTTCATTCTAAGTGTATTTTTCGCAACCTTGAAAAAAAATCAGTTTCAGTGACATTATCTATGCCTCGTAATCACGCTGGCATACAGTAATACAGAGTATAATATAATAGGAATAATGATAACAAAACACAAGATCTAACAATCCAAAGTGTAGATTGTCATCTGATCGATGATTGATATCAGTTCTATGCTACAGCAAAACAATATCTGTTGTCCTTGAAACGACTTTGCATTTGTCTTTTTTTTTATTTTGATACCTTTGAAAGTATTTTTCTGGTTATTTTTTAAGCTAGAGTATTGAGAAACATTTTAAAATGTGATGCTTCTTCAACGTGTGAATAACTTCAAATAAAACCTTTCTTGGTATCTGAGTTGATAGTTATTATGGATATATATTTGCATAGATTAAAGATGAAGACAAAAGCGCACTTGTTCCTATAGAGCAAGTTGGACAAACAATTACTCCCGAGACGACTGGCAATCTTTTTGAGCAACTTTATAAAATTTTAACAAGTACAGAAGAAATAGATGTTGACGAACAACAGCAATCATCTAATATTGATTTCAATCGTTCAACATTAAATATTAGGTAATTAAAAAAGAAATTCTAAAGAGAATTGAATAATACTGAATTTAATATTCAATTTGATAGAGATCCAGGCAAACGTCGTGATAATCTTTCCTATACGATCGGTGATATTGGTTTTGTTCCACGTCGTGATGCTGTTCTATTAACAAATTTTGATAAAATGCAACAACAAGTTTATCCAGCTCGTGAACGTGATACAATTAGACGTGCAGCAAAAATTTCAGTTGCCGTGCAAACACCTGGTCTTGGTCGAGTATGATTTATTTTACAATCATTTTTAATAATAAATCATTTATTTTTCTTTTCTGTGTTTTTAAATATTTAGGGCTCATTTGGTTCGGATGTATCACTTGATCGTCTAGGTCCGTTTGATAATGGTATTAATAAATCAACCCGTGAACAATTTAATCGACCTACATTTGGACCAAAACCTCGTGTACCTTATGCTATGTCAGCAACGAATCGTATTGTGCAATGTCTTTTTTGATATGAGAGCAAAATAAATAACATAAAGACTTATAGAAATCAAATGACAAACAACGAAAAAAAAAGAGAGTATAGGACAAGGTTCATATATATATAAATAGATAGATATACATACATATATCTATATATATATATATATGTAGGAAGTGTCAATGTTAAGAACTGAAATTCAAGGTTATTGTCTGACAGTTACATTTGCAAAAGAAGACATTTACAATAACCATGAAATGATATTTCTATTTTTTGTCAAAAGAAAAAACATTTAAATATCGGCATTTCCAGTACAGCGTCTTTGTTGTTGATGTTGATATTGATATCGATTAAAATGTTGTTGTTGTTGTTGTTCACTCATTCTCATTGACATTTCTTGAACTTCTCGCGCTTCATGTAAACAACGATCAAGTTGATTTTCAGTATCATCATCATCACGTTCATAAAATTTAACAGTAAAATTAGTTGTACCATTTTCATCATTTATTGTAGGTTGTTGATTATTTCCAACAGCAACATGTTCTTGACTTGAATTTCGTTTATATTCAACTGTACGAACATTTTTCGAATTTTCATTTGGAATATATTGAAATGGTAAATGATGAACTTGTCCATTGGAACGATTTGATTGACTTCCGATTCTTTGATGGCGTGGTAAAACAGTTGAATATTCAACAGTTGTAGTTGTTGGAGGTGGTAATATATCAGTATCAGGAATTTTACGTACTGTTAAACGTTCACGAAAACGTTCTTTAATTTTTTCTCGATAAGTTCTTGGTTCTACTTGTCGTTCTTTACTATCTTCCAAATGCCAATTATCACCTTCTTCATCATAATAATGTTGATATTCTTCAGAAAAAACTTGTTGTTTACATAAATTACAATCAGAAAAAGATTTTGGTAATGAACAACGACGATGAATATTATTATTTATTGAAGAATAATCTATTGTACCATATGGACGATGAATACCATTTGTCATTATAGCACGACTACGAGAAGGTATAGATGCATGATAACCATAATCAATGTCATTCATAGTACTATGATGAAGATCAAAATCACTACGACTTTCACGATGATATCTTTCCATATTTTGTGCAAATGAAGTAGTTGATAAAGGATAATGAATACTTTGTGATGTACTTGCACGACGATGAGTATCTATTCCAGTATTATTACCAATCGGAGGTGGTAATGGTGTAACAAGTTGAGCACGACTAGAAGTACCACTTGTTTCTAAATAACGAGATGATAAATCTTTAGTTGTAACACTGTTCAATGCTTTTTGTTGTTTACGTCGTCGACTGCAATATAAAAATTGTTCTTAATTTCAAAAAGAAATATTTTTGCATAATTTTTACTTACTGAAACAAAAGAGCTAAAACGATGATGACAAGTAAAAGAAGTATGTAGGCTAAGATAATTGGAATAACAATCCAAATATCTAAAAAAGAAAAAAAAGATCTTAACTCAAAAAAAAATCAAAATTGTTACTAACTCGGCACTTTTGTCCATCCAACTGATTGAAATCGCATTCGACTTGTTGTTTCTGGTATAACAATAGATGTTGTTGTTAATAATGGTGAACCAGTTGGACATGGATCAATATATGAACAAACAGGTATTGTATAAAAATAAAGTAAATAATTAGTTGAATGATATGAATAAATCATTCCTGGTATAAATGTTATTTTCATTTCATATGTTGATACTGCTAATCTTTGTGTTGTTTGATTTCCATTTAAAGTTGCATTTAACAGTGTAACACCTTCAGATGAAACACTTTCAATTTTTAATTGATCATGATTTAATTGTCCATTAACAAAATAAAGTACTGTTTTATGATATGGTCGTGCATAAATTGTTGTAAAACATGGTACACGTATTGTGTCTGATGGATAATTTCTTGAATAAATAAAACCATAATCATTTGTTAATGAACCATTTTTACATATGTCACATTTTGTTTGTATTTCACGTAGATTCCATGTTGGTACACAATGAAAACCAATATTTGTAACTGCTTTAAATGCGCATAAACTTCGATCACGTATTTGATAAGCAGGAATATCAGAACATTGTGGTTTTCCATTACATAATGTATTTATATAACGTAAATCATAATTATTACAAGCATGAGATAAATCAGGTTGACAAGAACTTGGATCATGACCAAGACGCGATGGAAATGAACGAATATAATCAATAGAGATAAGATATTGTGGAACATTTGATTGCCATTTTTGATTATCTAATGATGGATGTTGTGGACATTCAATTGAAATTAATGAATGAGTGGGACATATTGTTACTGTTCTATTGGGTAATTCATATTCAAAAACTAAAAAATGTATTATAAAAATTAATAAAAATACCAAACATTAAATTTCATTATCTTACATTTAGCATTGACTACTATTGATGTTTTCTTTGTTATATTGCACAAGGCAATAATAAATATCAATAATAAATATCGAGCCATATACTTTTTTTCATTTCATTCGATTCTTTTTTTGTTCTCTTGACTAACTGACCATCACTTGGATCATTATTCAATTGGTATGTGACAATGTCTATGTATATATATATATATGCGTGTTCAATACAAAATTATGTCAAATGAATGATCCTTCCTATGAAAGAAAAAAAAAAGATAAAGATAAAGAAAGAAAAAAGGGCGCAGAGATGATGCTACTCAGCTTCGCCCACATCATATGCATGCACTCACACCTCCTCATACATCTGTGCACACGTTTTTGTCTTCTTCTTATTACGTCGACATTTTGAAATAAACGATATGCATTGAAATAGACAAGTGTGAGAGAGAGAGACAGAGAGAACGAGAAGACTACTAATCCTTTTCGACGAGATCAACTATACCGATGACAAAATAACGATGATGAACCACTGATGGTGATATTACTATTAGTAACTAACACAATAGAGATAAAAAAAGGACATGTACAAGTTAATTGAACTAGTCATTGACGTGATAAAAAAAATATGTCAATTATTGTCGTCAAGAACAAATAGTTTAAAAATTTTATATAATCATGAAAGATAATGTAAATATGTTCATACTCAGTAATAGATCACTTTTTTTCTTTTATAAACTTTTTGTTTTACAATAAGTTTGTATCGATTATAAATTGATATGAAATTCTATTTGCATAAAATATTCATACCATCGGTTATACAAGTTTCAGATGAATTTCTAACTGAAAATTAAGATATGAAAGATTGAAATATTGATGAGTGTTTATTGTTATTATAACTTTATATAATATAACATGATTAATACGATAAATGAAAATGATATTGTGAATGATGACGAATTGATTTAAGAAAAAAAAAGAATATTTTTCATTAGTCGTTTATGATTGCAATTATATTCATACGTACTTCGACTTGCTTCTTCATACTTGGTGGAACTTTTTGAATTAAATTTTTCTATTTCATTTTTTCTTCTCTTTTGATATTTGATATAACATATTCAATTAATACAATTTTTTGTTCTTCTAACCTTGATGGATTAGTGATATCAAGGACAAAATTTTTGCTTCTTTCTTTTCTATTGATGAACAATTGAAATATTGTGAGTCACCATATTGGTTTTTGGGCATTATTTAATAATTTTCTGCTTATCTGTGTCTATTCCTGTAATAGTAATAATAACTATTGTCGGCGCCAGAATTAAATAGGGGTGGGTATAAGCTCAATAACTCGACAACCGCAATAGCTAGCGACCTGCGGTTTTCGTCAATCGAAAGAGGAGGAGTTGGGACGCCTTTTTCTCTGATAATGTATAAGACGAAAACCTTTTAAAACTAATCATATTCGAAAAGCATGCAAAAGAACCCATGAAAATGATCTGCCNTAACGGAAAAGGTTGACCGATCAAGCTGAAACTTATAGGAATGATTACTGACTATGAACCCTACAATTGCTGAAAGTTTCATGTAAAACTATAAGTGCTTTCTAGGGGGGCCGATTTCAACCCAAAACGTCTCCCGTCCTTTCTCGAGTATTCATGTGAGTAATTCGAGTACTTATACTGGCAAGTCGTACTCACTTGATGAGTATTTTTACTAGAGTAAGTATGCGTTGAATGACTGAAAATGTGACCTTACATGATGAAGTTTTCCTGTTCCTTAAAAGATAGCAATCCATTCGTTTAAAATGATCTCGATGTTTTCGCTCTAGTACAATGTTGATTATCAGTGAGAAACAGCCCATGTTGCTTATCAAAACAACACAAATCAATCTCAAGGTTATTTTTATGTCACTAAGTCTCTCTTTCAATGTGGCCTTGAGGCTTATAAGACATGTAACGAAATAGTCATTATCTTATCTTGTGCAAACTATAAAACAGAGTGAGAGAAGAAAATCGAACCATTTTTCTTTAGTGTTCGTCGACATAAAGAGGTAGATAAGTAGAACTTTCTTTAGTTGAACCGTACGATCCCAGGTGAAAGATGCACGATGGGGAGGACCGGCATAGATCGAGAAAATGTCCACTTTAGCAAAAGTCCGCTGGAGAATAAAGGGACTTTATTATTCGGACAAAATATTATCAAATTTAACAAAAAGTAATATTATCTATCCACGTCCTACCTCTTAGCGCACGGTTCGCTTAATTTAGCGGACTTTTCCTTTTATTTACCGGACTATTGTGATACTTTACTATTCATATGTGTCTCTTCTCTATCACCAACGGACTTTTCTCTTTGCTATTGATTACTATTATGTTTTAGTCAACGGACTTTTCTATTTCTTAGCGGATTTTTCCTTTTATTTAGCGGACTCTTGTGACACTTTACTATTCAGATATAAGTCATTTTTCTTTAGTTCAAAGGACTGTTGTCTTTTTTGTATTCATGACTGTCATGTTTTAGTCAATCGACTTTTCTATTTCTTAGCGGACTTTTGTAGTATTTTACTATATAGATAAAGGGTGTGGCGTAAGTTCTGATTCCCTCATGGAATGTATTTTTTTTACATGTTTTCTACATCGAAGAGGCTGATATTTACAGTATAGTTACTAGTTGTCTAGGTCTATTCTATGCGAAAATTTCAGCTCTCTATCACTTATTATTATCGTGAAACAGGCATATCCAATATGATAAAAATATTTGACAAATAATCGGAACGACCAAGAACGAGAAATTGTGTCTGTTCTATCACACATTCGTTCCGAATAGCTTTTGCTTTACTATATATATAACTCGTGCGTTGTTTTATGAGCGGCCGTCGCTGTCGTCGTTAATTTGAACAGAAAAATACATAATCTATTTTCTCTATCGATCGTCACGTTCAGAAACAACAACGTGCACGAACGAATAACATCGAAATAAACTCACTGTGATACTAGACGAGCAGTTTGGTAGGTAATTACTATTTCCAAAAATCATATTATGGTTTTTTAATAAGAAACCTTTTCTATCTAGAATGTTGAACACTCGGAATTAAACAGACCCGTTTATTTTGACATAATGTCAAATATCTCATTCGATAAAAAAGAATTCAGATCTCTTGTGTTAAATTTGAAAAAGTTGAATCCATCATGGGGTGCACCTCAACTTGCAAATTTTCTTCAACAATCGGAAAATCCTCCATCATTGCAAAGACGTCAACTTGTGACGAAGATCAGAAGAACATTAACAAGAAACACAATAGAAGATAAAAAGAGATCGGGACGTCCTGCCACAACATCTACACCCTCTTTTCAACAGAAAATCAAAACATCTTTGAGATTGAAAAAGGGTGCATCGATTAGAAATCTAACATCGAATTTGAACCGAAATGGAATAAAATGTTCCGAACGAACTGTGCACAGAACTGCTCGGCAGGTAAATTTGAAATAGTTCAAAACAAGAAAATCCCAGAAATTAATAGATGATAATAAAACTAGAAGAGTAATTTGTGCTAAACAATTAAGAATGAAATTTAGAGTTGAAAAGAAAGCACACAAATGGAAATGGAACAGGGTAGTGAATACATATTTTAGTGGTAAATTCACTTTGCTACCATTTCAGAACAAAAGGAATGATGGTATTTGGGCGGAGGAAGGTGAAGTTGTACCACCAGTTTTAATTAATGCACCAACGGATAAAGTCAAAAAAGGAATTATTTTTTGGGGTGGAATTTCTTCACATGGACTTATACCTGCTCGTGCACCAATTTATTTTACAGAATGGCTACATCAACAACCACCACAAAAGAAAAGGAAATATTTAACAGGTGATTTATATGCGAAGTTTGTTACCGAAAAAGCTGCACCAGCAATCAAACGAGTGTTCAGAAGTACTGGTTTTATACCAATCTTCCAGGACGATCAGGACAGCAAGCATAGAATGGCGATTGTGATGGATACTATTGATTCTTTATTTGGCGAACGTATTGATTCCGAAATAGGTGATGCAAAATTAGCTGATGTTTGGGTGATAGAGAATGTATCGGGTGCGATTAAAGAAAGATTGAGAAGGCAACCATTTAATGACGCATCAGAATTGGAAAATCAAGTAGCCCAACAGCGGAGAACATTTACTGTCGAAAAATGTAGGCAAATGATGGAAGAAATACCTGACCGACTGAAGCGAGTGATAGATCAAGATGGGAAATAAATACACAATCATTCATAAATGTTTTCTATTGATTATTTAAAAGAGTTTTCGATTTGTAGATCTATTTTCGTGTACTATTTTCATGTAATTTTGTAATCCAGTATTAAAAGCATCTCCAGTTATTCTCGAAAATACTTCGATTTTTTTCTCTTATTTTACCATGCTCGTATCACGATAATAATAAGTGATAGAGAGCTGAAATTTTCGCATATAATAGACCTAGACAACTAGTAACTATACTAGCTGTAAATATCAGCCTCTTCGGTGTAGAAAACATGTAAAAAAAAATACATTACATGAGGGAATCAGAACTTACGCCACACCCTTTATGCTAAAGATTTTCTATATTGCGCCCATGTTTAATCAATGGCACCTGTCTGTAATAGAAGAGGTACCACAGTAATATTGTTACAAAGTTACGCTCACATTTTAATATGTGAATTCCACAAAAATCAAAGAAGTCTTCAACAATTTGAAATTAAAAACTTTATCAGGAAAGAGAATGCTGTCAGTAGATGATGAAATCGAGATAAATTCCAGAATGATGTCGAAACTTTTTGCTTGTAGTTAGCCAAAACAAATTTGTTTGTTTAGTAGTTAGTGTTGATCAATTTTCATAATTTTCTTGATGCATTATCGCATTTATTATATCTATTCACTTCCAGTATCAGTTAGAAATGCTTTTTGTTATTCTTAGACGCCATAAAATTGATGAGTGAAGAGAGTTTTTTCGCAGATACACACATCAATTTGTTTTACGAATAGTTTTTTCTCTTAGCGATAGCAACAAGAAAAACGAAAGAAGTAAAACTATGAAGCATATGGCTTGACATCTCGATTCATTAAATATGTGTTTTTAAAAAATTTTCGAAAATTTCTTACAATTAACAAATAAACGAAAATAATTTCATACAAGGCTCAAAAAAATAATTTTACATATTAAAAGATCTTGTGATTGGTAAATACAAACCCAATCCGTACACAAGCAAATTGTGTTCTAGATTGCAATGTCACTTGGAATATTCCAACTTGAAAAGAATACACCAAATAGTGAGTCATTTCAGAAGTTAAAAATTATTTTTTGTTTTGTATCAGGTTCTAAATCGTACGAAAAGTCATGACTATTTTCATTAGAAGATTATCAATATCTAAATAAAATTGATTTGTATCTCTTATTAGTTCTTGTTCAAGAGGTTATTTTCTTAAGTTTTATGTAGAAATAGCTTTCTTCTTGACGTAAGTTTGAAATACCTAAAATGAAAAGAGCTCGATGGTCGATAACAGCTAAATTAGACGATAATAAATGATCATAAATCTAAGTGCGAACAATTTCTTGATATTAGCAGGGCATATAATTTTGCCTTTTCTTTGTTAATTTTTGCAGTTGATGCAGTAATTTTTTTCTAACTTCGTTCTAGTTACAGGCTTTGATAACATTTACGACTACATAAGTATGACATCATTGGATAATGATAATAAATCCAAAAATGGATTACTCGTGGATAAGCAAGCTGAGGTAGAATCGCACAAGTCTGATGACGAGAACAGACCATTGTCTCAATCGTCTTCTAGCTGTTTACCTCAGCAGACATCCAGAAATGTTGCTACTAATCTATGTATTGTCTGTTCAAGAAATCGTCGAGCAATTGCATTTGTGCCATGTGGTCATTTCGCTGCGTGCGTACCATGTGGACATGGTTTAAAGTTGTGTCCAACATGTGGATCAAACATTAAAGGGTTGTTACGAATTTATGACTAAAAATGTGCATTACACATATTTATTACTCGATATCTTTGAACTTATACTTTTCATGTAAAATTTTGATGGGGACTTTTAGTATTTATATGGTAGAGTATAGTCGTGATAATATTATTTAATGGACCAAAGATGAATAAATGCAACGTTCTGTTTACTTGGCATGCGTTTTCTAACTTAGCTTGAATGAACCTTTATAGAAAAAGTATAATCATAATAAGTTCAAAAAATTATTTTTTGAAATCATTTTAGTCGTTTATGAAACTTTTTAAAATTTAAACATAAAGAAACACCAATAGTATATCGTACAAGAAAACATAAAAACCAAGAGAATATATCCACCCGGCAAAAAAAATAGTTCCACACAGTATTTTTAACAAATTATTACTATAAGTTAACTTTTTGAGAAAAATAATTATATATTCAGATAGCCCACGGAATTCTCTACAACTCTATTTATAAACATTTTGAATTGCACTCATCTGCTAAAAATAAATTCATGCACAATAAACGCACCCTCATGTTCAGATTTTCCGGAAATGCATTTTTTGCTCCTTTTTCGTTCATATTTTTAAGTTTATTTTGAATATTGAAACAATTTATTATAAAAGTAAGTATATATTCTGAAAGCGCATGAAATTCTCTATTACCTTGTACTTTTATCAGTCTTCGCTTGCAGGTATTTCATGATAAATACTTCGAGTTTTTTTAATTTATCCTAATTGTGAAGCTTACACTCTTGATTATGGGTGCTTCCACGCAGGCCCTCCAACTTTTACATCGACTTTCTGCGGGCAAGATTTCACTATGCTAGATTTGTAGATCTCGTCGAGTTGTGTAGGAAATGATATTTAGTTTTGATTTAAATCGTGCGCTAATTCCAGTAGAGTAGGCTAAACAGGCGATTTTGTCGAAAATGGGCCCCCAAAATGCGTCTGGCATATTTTTTAGGAACATTCTTTAGAAATTTTGATTTCACTGTTAGATAGAGCATAGAAGGTTCTCCGTATAAAATAATTTTCAAAACTGCATGTCAAGAATTCATTGTTTGGGAGCATTTGCAAAATTGGGAAAAAAATGGGATTTTATGCTAAAATTGTGATGCTAATAAAATTTATACAATCAGTCAAAGACCCTAACATATTTGGATCAAAATGAAGCTTATACTATGCTTATTCAAATGCGATGTGCCAGAGTTTTTCAAAGTTTTCATTGGTTCGAATATATGAATCTGAAGGGTCGAGGGGTCTCAAAAAGCTTCACATTGGGTTTCGGTTTTCTCAAAAACCAAACGTCAGAATTTCGCGAAATTTTTTTTTCTAGTAGATCTTAATGAGCGCTACTAGTGATTAAAATAGAAGACTTCCCATTTCAGGATTGTGAGGAATGGAGCTCTTCTAAGTTAGCGTAAATTGTAGTACTCTTCTAAAAAACGCTGTAGGGGACCCCACGTAGTCGAAAAATTGAATTCTCAAATTTTCGTCCGAAACTTCGAGTGTATGAAGGCCTCAAATATACTAGCTTGTACAGGGAATTTCAGAAGTTTTGAACCAGATTTAGTAAAGATATCGAGATCGCAAAAAATATGTGTTATTTAGACTACCTTTAAAAAGGGCTTCTATTCAAACGTACATATCTTGGCGAAACATTGTTAAAAACTTCTGAAATTCTCTGTGCAAGCTAGTATATTTGAGGCCTTCATACACTCGAAGTTTCGGATGAAAATTTGAGAATTCAATTTTTCGACTACGTGGGGTCCCCTACAGCGTTTTTTAGAAGAGTACTAAAATTTACGCTTACTTAGAAGAGCTCCATTCCTCACAATCCTGAAATGGGAAGTTTCATATTTCAATCGCTAGTAGTACCCGTGAAGATCTACTCGGAAAAAAAATTTTGCGAAATTCTGACGTTTGGTTTTTGAGAAAACCGAAACCCAATGTGAAGCTTTTTGAGACCCCTCGACCCTTCAGATTCATATATTCGAACCAATGAAAACTTTGAAAAACTCTGGCACATCGCATTTGAATAAGCATAGTATAAGCTTCATTTTGATCCAAATATGTTAGGGTCTTTGACTGATTGTATAAATTTTATNATCATGAATCGAATTATTGATAAAAAACGAAAACATGATTGTAAATATTTCTTTTTATTAATTGCGCCAGAGGTCGTACATATTTACTGTAGATATCTTAGCAATAAGCTCTTTCCTATAGATTCTGAGAATTTATCTCATGAAATAGAAATCTATTGACTGTAATCACTATAAAACAACACGATGGATATGAGCTAGACATAGCTTTTATTCCTATACATCCGTCAGTTTCGTCTTTTCAGTCTGAATCCACACTTAGAATAAATAGTGACTTATCAACGGACTAATCTGTTTTCTTCATTTATAATGAAAAACAGATTTATTATAAATTTTATTTATACTCCATAGAGATTATACTAACAGCTCAATCGATCTTTAGTTGTTGAATTGGTGTGATACTATATTAATTATATAACTAAACCAGTAATTTTAATTTGAAGACTAAAATCTATTCATATGAAACTTATGCGAGGTAGTTCATCTCGGATTCTTATTGAATGATGATTCTGAGTAGAAATACGCGATATTTCTGAAAACTTGACGAAATAGTTCTTTTGCAGACAAAATAATTTGAAGTGTGTCACCATTAGAGTTCGTCGAGTTGGTTTAGGACCCAGACATGATTGACTCTAGTTATGTCGAAAATGCGTAGAATATGCTACTCATCAAATATAAAAAAGTCGGAATAAAAGTATTTCATATCTTTGGGGCGACTATTCAATTCTGATTAGAATATTTTGTAGCCGACGAGCTCTAGTTCTCATCTAATGATCCGATTTAATGTGAGATCTCCTAGAAAATGCATGATCATTGAATAGAATCTCGATTGATTATATCGATTAAATAAATTGAAGAATAGTTAACACAATATCATAGATTCTAAACTTTTTAAAACTAACACTAACGTAAGAATAAACAACAATTTTTTAAATTTCCAAATAAATTCTTTTAGCTATTTCGGAAACAATTGCTGCTGTTGTTAATGGTACATCATCTCCATCTCCATCATCAACAACTCCGCCACCACCAAAACGTTCACGTCCATCTCGCGCACGTTCTACTCCAACAAAACCTGGTGTCATTGTTGCATCTGCACCAGCAGCTCGACATATTCCATCATCATCTATTGAAGATGATACAAGTAGTATGGAAAGTAATAGTACAAGTAACAGTATTCATTCAACTATGGCTGATTTACTTGATCGATGTTCATCTCCATCATCACAAACAACTCTATTTGACAATGATATTCGTTCATGCTTAAATGATTTATGTCATCGTATTGCTTTAACTATGGATGAATCATTATCATCATCATCAATAATCTATAATCCAATACCATCACCAGTATTTAAACGTAAAATTGAAGAACAATCATCATCAAATAAACGGCCAACAAAAATAATTAATCATGTTGAGGAACAAACACCGAAAAAAAAACGTAATCGACCATCAACAAAAAAATCTTCAACAGATGTTACAAATGTAACAGTACCAATAAGTAAAAAAGAAGAACTAATTGAAAAAGAAATATCTGATAGTAAACCAACAATTTCAACATCAAATGTAATTACACCACCCGTTTCAACGAATTCATCTGATTATATTTGTGAATGGGATAATTGTCGAAAGTAAAACATCAAATTATATTTAATGATTTACTTATGGATTATTTTTCTTTCTTTTTTAATATTAGATCGTTTTCTACAGCACGAGCTGTTTTTCATCATGCATGTTCAGCTCATGTTAAACATTCAGCTGATTATATTTGTTTATGGAATGGATGTGATCGAATAAAACGACAAAAATGGGCTTTAATTAGTCATATTCAAGTACATTCATCTTAATCAATTGATCTGCTAATTATTTGTTCACTTTTAATATTTGTTTAGGAACGGCATTGTTCTGAATTAGCCTTTCGACAAGCTAGACTAAAATCAGCTAATCCTATTCCATCAACAACTGCTAATGCAGGTACAATACCATTGACGACTTCTGCAAATAATGTTCCATCGACAACAGGAGCAATTGGTTATGCACCTGATGCTGCTTGGCTCGCTGTTCGACGTCACATACAAATGAGTTCTTTCGATGATTTATTGGTATGTTTCATTCTATTTTGAAATTTATTAATTAATTGATTAAAATACAATAGGTCAAGGGTAAAGAAGGTCCATTAACGAAAAGTATTCGACTTACAGCTGCACTTATTTTACGTAATATCGCTCGACATTCATCGATTGGAAAACAGTATGTTAAATAGATAGAAAAATAAAAATAGATCAATGAATTTTTTTCAATTTCATTTAGAAATCTTCGTCAATATGAACAACATCTTGCAAATTTAGCTCTTGAATCAACGGAAGCATCGAATACACTTAGTTCGTGTTTATTTGAGCTTTATAATTGATTTTTTTCTTTTTCTTTTTTTGTTTATGTGCGAAATATGTTATATCTGTGTTCTTCTTTATGTATATGCATTGTGTGCATGTATGTTACGGTTTCTCTCTTTGTTTCCTTTATGTAGATGTCTTCTGTCTCTTCTTTTTTTTTTGTACTATTTTTCTATTTTTCTTGAACAACATGAAACTATAAGAGAGTGTCTGAAACATTGATGATTTATTCAAAATTATATTAAGACTAAAATCCTTGTTTTTTCGTTTCTGTGAAGGATTTTTCATTATTGTATACTTACCTTAACGTCATATGTATAAATGGTTCGATCATTCTTAGTCGGAAATAAAAATGCTTTTGTTGAACTATATATTCAATGAATTTATTCGATGTATATTTGCATTATAATTAAGTTTACCTAAATGTCAGACGAACTTGAGATTTAGGCAAAATTGAACACAGTTTTTAAGGCCTATTACTCGAAACAATCTATGAAACTTAAAATTTCTAGGAATGTGTATCCGAATCTCAGCGATTTAAAGTAGAAATTTCGGTCGTAATATCGAATTTTCATAACATCAAGGGTCAAAAAGTACGTCTGCGTATGACAACAATTTCCCCTCGAAATCTAATGATACAAATGTCGAGTTGATTCTAAAAATGCAGTCAAGGCTTACTGATACAGCTTAAAGAAGTCCAGTGTGTCAAAATATTCTTTGTTCTAATGAAATTTTTTCCAAAAAATTTGAAAAGTTTCTACAGAAAAATCAAGTCGAAAATGGTTATTCCGGCTTTATTAAGTTGTAGAGCACAATTTTCTCTTCAATGGCCGATCTTTCTAACATATAAAACAGCCGAGAAATCTTTGATGCAAGAACAGGAAAAGTCTACTTTGAGAGAAACGCGAAACGAAGTTTGGTTCATGAACCTAAGCTTCTTTCTAAATAAAACGGTATAGAAAACAAAACACAAAAAAAAGCATAATAAGTTTGGTAAATCATATTAGATATTAAGGGTTCTTCGACCGCATCAAAATCTCAAGGTCGAATTTTATGACAAAAACGGGGATTTCTGACAGGGGAAGGTGAGTGAGCCTTGAAAGATTCAATAACAAAAAAAATCGAAAACGATCACAATAAAGAGCTGATCTTATATATATTTATATTAAGTTATGTTTGACTTTAATTGAAGTCTAATTGAATTTAGGATGTTGTAGAGTTCATGAGTGTTCTCAATCATGGCTAGGCAAGTTCGATTCATTACTCGAACTCGAAATTTGGATGCCGTTGACTCGAGTCATTCATTCAAATAAGCAGAATTTGATAATTCAACACGAAAATCAGTTTTCAGAAGAAATTGATGATTTTCTGAAAGAAGATTCCACTAATGATCTTATTTCTCAGCAACAAAATTTATATCAACCTCTTTAAAAAATTCCTAGCAAAATCATGTATGTTCCTACTAAATCAGCATCAGTTGAACGTGTAATTTGTCAAAGTGATCTTTTAATGAGATCACATTGTCGAAATTTTTCACAAGCTAATATTTGCATTCTAACATCATTGCAATACAATAAGACATTAACTTAGATGTTAATGAATATTATCTTTTGCTTGAAAATAACTTTCAGCTTAGGTTTTTTGTTTCATAAAAAAAAATTGATATTGTTGTACTGTGTTGTAGAAGTTTGTGAAAGAGAAGACTGTTCTTACTTTGTTCATCAAGCTGCAGTAGTTTTGCCATTTTATTTTATGTTGGACTGTTCTTATTTTGTTTTTGTGCATAAAAACTAGGAACAAGATATCCTATTATTAAAAAAAAAATTGTTGTTAATATTCTTTATTAAAATAAACAGAAAATGAAAAAATGACATAAATAATGTAACTCGAAAAGTAGTTTGGCTTATTTAATTCTATTCTCAGTTGATATCTGACTGATTTTAGAATGTTGTAGAGTTTGCCAATATATTGGATTGCAATCTTGTTTGTCTTAGTAATCTCAGACAAAAGAAGAAAAAAAAGATCTTTCAGTTTATGTTGACTTGAGTACTATATTTGTCTTCATGTTTGATCAGGCTCGTAGATGACATTTAAAGTATAAATATATTATGTTATTAAGTTTTATCGAAATATGTTCCAATGAAAAACGATGAAGAACTTTTTAGTTTATGCATTTTTCTGTAGTAGAATAATAAATGATTTCTCTCGAAATATGATACTCACAACAAAAAAATGAATATGTTGATTTGCTTATTCAGAAAAATACTTTTTGAACATCATTTTCTTATGTCAATGCAAAAGTCATTCATGCATACATTAGAATATGAATAAGTGAAAATGAATACTCTGTCTACTTAAAAATAACAAGTATGTGCTATGCCCTCTTGATGGTAATGAAAGTTATGATTTATTTTTAAATACAAGAAAACTATTTCCTAGTTTTGTGTCTAATTAAAAATGTAATCTTTTTAAGTTTATTCTTATCTGAAATTCAATTTTGCCTGTGATATATGTGTATGTATGTTAAAAAAAAAACTGATAATATTTTGATTTTTTTTTCTTGTTCGCTGGTAATTATGCGTAAGGTGCCGGAAATACAAACTTAAAGCAGAAGGTATTTTTTTCATTTCTTTGTATGTGGTTAGATAGAACCTAACGATTTGATCGAGATNTATTGGTCTCACGGAACGTTGCTTATTTTAAATAACAAAATGTGCATATACATAAAATAAATTGTTGTTTGTAAATTGTAGAGCTTTTCACGCTGCATCTTCTGGTATATTTTCTTTTCTTTTAATAAAACATATTAGGTAATAAAAAGGTGAAATAATAAAAAAATGAATTCGTAGTGTATCAAAAAATGATCTTGTTCGCAGTCTTGAAAATTAGTCGCATAGAATTTCGTTTATTTTGATAACAAAGGGTACATATATTAAATAAGATTTTTAATATAACATGTAGAGCTTTTCACGCTGTATCTTCTCATATACTATCCTTTTAAAATAAACTTACTCGATGATGAACAAAAAAGATATAAACCTCGACCATGCACTATGAAACACTCGTTAGCTTTGAAAGTTAGGTAGTTTTTATGTGTTCGATAATCTTCGTTTAATTTTTTTCCTTAACGTTCTTCAGGAATAGGTTTGATTACTGTTTTGTAGAGAATTTTATGGCGCATCTTTTGGAAAAACAATCAGCTCTATAGGACACAAAGAAAAAAAGTTATAGCCAAAACATTGAGAGGGACATTTATTCTGGGCCACCCGTTAATTATTCTAGAAAATCAAATGCAAATATGACGTGAATACTAAACTCTTGAGTTAGTCATAGTCTAATAATAAGTAATGCAACAAAATGAGGTTGATATGTCTTATTCAAACGGATATGACTTTTTTGTCGGAAATGGCATAAGTTATTGTTATTGATAAAGAACGCTTTGTTTTTTTTTTGATTTTATTGAACATGTTTTTCACTGATGGCAGCACATTCTTTATAAATAGAAGAAACCTTTCTTTGACGTTTCTCTATCTTGTAATATACTTTCTTCGGATTCAAAATCATTTTTATTTATACCAAAAACATATTCTGCATCGTTCCATCAGGTACGAGAATGTTGTCTATGCCGTTCTATTTCGAATGATAAAAAAGCGGAGTCTTTTTTTATGGCACACCACGTTCTTTTCTGTTTTTGTTTTTATGGAAGAATGTCAAAGAGCGTATCCTTGATACAAAAATATTTTTGTAGTTCAATCCGCATTATTTTTAGAATCCGGACCGTTTGTTTTCTGTCATCCTTTCAATAAAGAAATATGTTCTCGTGCGTTAAAACATATATTTTTTGATACACAAAATGTATTCTTGATGATTTTATTAGCGCAACAAGCGTATTGTATATTGTTGAGAAACGATTGTGAAAAGCTCAATCGACATTCCTAAACATATCTAACTCTATTATATTTTATCTTCATGCTTTAGTGAAACACTTGAGAAAACAATTTCGATGTATTTTTGTAGGTCTTTGTTCACCAAGTAAGGCTTAACAATTGACGTCAAAATATTTATGTATTGAATGTGGGATATAAGTTTCAATTATAAAAAAAGGTACAAAAACTAATAAAACAGAGGAAGATATTTGGTAGATTAAGATAGTTTCATTGTTTATTGAAGAAAAGGAATGCTTTAATAATTTATGATGATACTGTTGCTTGGTTGTCCAGAGAAATTCATTTCTGCAATGACTCGATACACATTTTTTGATCGTAATGTTTTTTCACTAATACAAACAAAGTTAGTGAAGAGGAACATCAAAACAATAAGAGTAGCACTTATTGTACTTGAATTTTATCACGTTTTACAACCATATAGAATACCTTGTGACATATTTATCGTACAAATCAATAGGAGAAGTGTGATTACAGTAAACAAAATAGATTTCGTCTTCTTATACTTAATCTCTTCAAATTTTACTTCTATCTCGTTACTATCATACAAGTAAATGTTGTTTTTCATCTTCATGTGGTGGTTATCCGAGTGTTTTGTTCAGTTTTCTTTTTCATTGATGTTCTTGATAATCACTGACAGAAGAAAAGAATAGAACTTTTATAGATACCAGAAATACGCCTCATTTTCTAATCTGTCAATGGGTATATAATATATATAAATATATATATATATATATATGAAGTGCGAAATATGGTAATCATTTTTATTGTTATTTTACTCTAAGGCAAATTGCTTTTATTAAACTTTTACTCATTTGCATGACTTTTTATTTTTATTCTCGTTTTTCATCTGATGATTTTCTTAATTTGGTATCTCTTTATTTTTATAACTATCTTGTTTATCAATACCACTTTTATTTAATTTTGATGTTTTTCACTTTTGATTCTGTCAAATTATTTTTGAATTCTATGATCCTTCGTATTTCGTTTTCTGTTTACTTTGATAAATACATAGATAGATAGACAAGTAGTAGCTAGTTAGATAGGTAGATTACATATATAAACATAATCAG